ACTTTTTTTTTCTTGTACCATGTAGTTATGAGAAAATATACGTTCTCATTGTCAAACAAGGTTACACATGTTGTAAGAAAAGCTTTAAATATAAGTGCACAAATCTTTTTATATTATTGAAAGAAAAGAGGAAATGGGCTATATCCATTTCACTTTCTATTCAAGAGTCAGAAACGGCCTATATTCGTTTCTCTTTTTATTCGGGAGCCACTACCAAATAAGTTGAATCATTGGCGGCCAAAACAGTTTTCTCTTATGGCCGGTGGTGCTGTTAGCGAGCAAAGGCCACCAGTGAAAAATGACTTTCACAGGCAGCCAAGCTAAGATGGTAGCCAGCAAAAAGATGATTTTCACTAACGAAAGTGCTAGCAAAAATATTTTTTAGAGCAAGGAAAATTAAAATCAGAATACAAAAGGCATATGTAAAGAATCACAGATTCCCAAAATCCCCAATGACAATCCTTAAATCTCCAAACACAAACCCAAATCATCAAACACATGCAGTCCTCCCACCGTGGTTGTCATCGTGGTCATTGATGGAGAGCATGGTCGCCACCTTTTCATCCTCGCTTACAAGGAAGGAAATGGCTGGCCGATGGCTACCAAATCTGGCGAGGTTGTTGTCGCCGCTGCCATCACCGAGCCACAATCCTAGTCGCTATCACCACCAAGGGCCAGCATCCCGAGCCTACGCGCAGAACTATGCCCTAGGACCATCACCACCACGGCTAGATGTGGCGGTCGCGGGCATTGTCGTCAACCATCTTCTTGCACCTCCTCGTCGTTGTCCCATCCGCTATCCACTCCGGACACCCAGATCCACAGCAAGGAGGTGAGGTCGCTAGATCCGGTGGCCTCGGCCTCCTCCCTGGTCGATGCAGCAGCGATACTCGTTGACAGCGGATTCCTCATGGGGCTACGCGATGACGATGACGCTATTCAGTGTTGGCATGCCTCGGCGGCGGTGGAGGGATAGCCAGAGGAAAGGTGGAAGGAAGGAGGGAGGGAATGAGAGAGGCAGAGGGAGGAGGGGCAACGGAGCTGAGGAAGTTAGGCAAGAATGAATTTTAATACGGTGAATTTTTTTTCGTGAGCGGTGCTCTTTAGCTACTGCTAGGTAAAACTAATTTTCGCTAGCGGACAAGCCAAACCTTCTTATAGTTATTTTTCAATTTTCGCTAGCGGCCCCGGCCAATGACCTAGAATCCTCTTACATTTCTATAAGTATTTTCTTTAGTAGTCCAACAGTAAAAATAAAAGGGTTGTGTCATGAAAAATCACTTTTATATTGAGTTGTTAGCTGTTTACATTCCTTCACCTTTGGACTAGGAACATGTACAACAACAAAGCATTGATGCCGGTTACTAAGTGATAATGATCGACATTTTTATATAGATGCTTGTGGTGTTTGCATATTACTGTTGATAATTGTTACACACAAATAAATCCACAAGCTCACGAATATCATTGTAGCATTCTCTTAGAGTATTCCAAAGGTATCAAACACAAGTAACATGTGTGTATATCTAAGAACAGTATTCAACTAGGGACAATAACTAAATGGTAGGCTACTATGGATTCAACTAGCTAACTTAAGTTAAAGGTAAAACTCTATCAAATACTTCGGGCACCGGCCCTCTCCTGGTCTACCAGGGTGAGTCCGGCCTTGAGCTCTAGGATGTAGCCGAGCATGGAGGGATGCAAAGGACGGACATGGCTATCATCACCTGCCACCTACCTCACTTTCAGTGGAGCACACAACAAACGAAGGTAACCTCTAACGTAGGCACCACATTTACGTTATTGATTACTACTCTAGCCTCGCCTAAGAACTTCCTTCTATATCTAGAGTCTTAGTACTAGAGCACTCAGTATAATTAAATACTTGATGAACCAACACTGATGAGGATATATCTCACTTAAGTAAACTAATTAAATAACATAAAAGAATCTCGAACACTAACTTTATGAAAAGAACTGTCCGCCAAGGTACAAGCGAGATGAAGGCCGACAATCCCGGTGCTTCTCTGGAGCTCCGTTGGAAGAATGCTAACAAACCGGCACTTCTCCGGAAATTCTTGGAGAGAACTCTGATACTTTGCAGCACTCCTTCCAAAGCTTCCCCTCACTCTCTCACTAAACCAACATACCAAATATGAATCTATAAGTGAGCTGTACTCTACTTGAGCTCAAGTTGTGTGTCTTGACAGTGAAGTAAGCTCCCACTTTTATAGCCATCCTATGGCGGTTGTGGCAGTTATCCATGCCGGGAACCCTGCATAACCGCCATTTGGACTTCATCAGGAGGCAAAGGTGGTTCGGCCAAACTAGGGTTTGGCTGACCCCTTTGGCCCACCTCCTGGTCACTCCTTCGGCTGGGAGGATACCTGGTGGGCCCCTAATATATTGTACCTTAATTGGGCTCAAATTTAGGTGGTTTTGGTTGACATGCAGGCCCTCCAATCCACGTAATCGCGTTCGGTTGTCTGGAGGTGTATTTTGTCGCATGGTGGGTGTGTTTTCTCCATAATTCACCTGCATACAAATATTCAATACGACTTGTGAAAATGGTTAATAAAAACTACTAACTTTAAGTTTGGTATTTTACTTTATAATCTTTCATTTGCTTGTATGCATGATTTCACAGTCTAATTTGGTACTTAAGGACCGTTAACAATTACATGCCATGATTAATTTGGACAAACATGTAGGAGTCGATAACAAGCCAAGCTCAGTGAACTGGCTCACTTAGCTCCGTAGCATAATAACATATTTTCCCGCCCAACTCAACATCTTCTAGTGACTAATCACTACTACAGAAAATAACTTCAGTGCCGAGTCATAACCCCTTATCAGTGTAGGAAATCGAACCAGCACTAAACTTTCGGCACTGATTGGGGTGGGGGGGGTCATCAGTGCCGATTTGTGGCTACAACCGGCACTAATGATACGCATCCAAATTCAGAATTTAGGCTTATGAAAAACTAAAAAATATATTTTTGTACTCCTAACATCCTTAGCTGTGTATAGAGGAAGATGCAACCACTATTATCTATTTTTCAACTCAAATATAATTATTTTCATGGTGGAGATTCGTACCCAAAACCTCCCCCTCTCATGCACCCATCTTTACCAACTTACTTACACATCAATCTCGTTAGCAAATAGATATTTTTCCTTTTGAGCCATCCTAACCGAGATTTAAACCATGAATCTGCGTATCTAAAAGAATTCAAATGGAAAAGTTATCAACTACAAAATTGTAGATCTCGTCGAGAGCTACTATTTTCATATAAACTTTGTTGCAATCTGAGTTCGTATGAAAAAGTTAAATTCATATATCTGACGAAAGCACTGATATGGTTAAGATCATAAGTGCCGGATCATAAGAATACTCGACGCTGATGTATTTTCCTGCCAAAAGTGTAGTCATCCCGCTCCAACTGGCAAGACCCGACACTGATGTGTTACTCATCAGTGCCGTTAGTGGTAAGACTCTACACTGATATGTTGCCAAACAATCAGCGCCGAATGGTTGTAAGACCCAGCAGGGATGTCTTGTCATCGGTGCCAGGTGAAGGATATGCATAGTACAAGCTTGTTTTTTTTCGGACGGGAAAACATCATAAATGCCGGGTTTTCTCTGAACCAGCACTGATGTGTTTTTTTGTGGTAGTGAGTGTTGAGAAACTAGTTGGAACCCCGCATCTTTGCCGTGGGTTTTGTAGTTTTATCATCAAAGAAAATCATAGTTTTAAATGGTTAGGTGCAACTCTATGTATATACAAAATATATGATAATGTGGATTTATATATGCCTTATGTTATTACAATACAATTCATGCTTTATTTTTCCAAGAGTCATTGTGTATTGTTATAATATATGAATATTATTTTCATGCGCAATATGGGTATCGTTATAGTTAGACAATTCGCATCTCTCTACTTCACTCAAGTTTTTTTTCTGAAAATAGATTAAGGTAATGATACCTCATAACTATATGCTATCTTATCATGCATAATAAAACAAAACACACATATTAAACAATAATTTGAGTTGTATTCGGAAAACATGGTGTTATGCAGTACACAATATGTAACAGTGCTATGTGTGACTGTGAGGTGGAGCAAAGGGAGGTGAATGGATAACTAATAAATGATTGAATTGGATGAATAAGTAGCTTCTTGATCCAACGGTTATTATCTTGATCTAATGGCTTAAAACTGTTGATGATGTGGCTTCTTGCATGTCTTGTTTTATAACGGTAAGTGTCTCTTAGTGGGTACCAACTATATACAAAGATAGGATAACCAAGTATCAGGTAACCAACAACACAATATGACAACAAGCTAGAGGCCCAATTTTGATTCTGAGTGAGAGGCCGAACAAAAGGACTTTGTTTCGCGATGGTTCTGAATGCCTAGGCAGGCTTTTCTAACCTGGGCTGGAGCATGCAACAAGCTATATATCCTAAGTTCCTAACAATGGGGTAGCTCAACGGCCAGCTCTAGATCAGCTCATTAGGCATATACTTTCTCTACACCATGTCTAAAAACCATTAGAGAACATCAGTCGGCAGAGGTCACCTTCCACGTCATCTTATCTATCGGAAAAGGCCTTTACCGACTGAAGGTGTGTGTCACTGAAAAGCATGCCAGTAAAGGGGTCTATTCATAAATAGTACTTGTCACTAATTAAATACTATTTATATTTAAACTTTGATCACTAACCTTCTCTTAAAAAATATTTTACTCTACTCAATTTCAACCTGCTAAGTACCAAAGTATTAATCGAGTGCTGTGGGTTGTTAACATACAAGAGTTAACGAACTCTGTCGGTATTTAACAAAAGATAAGTTACAATACAAATTTTCTAATGAATGATCACCTCGGACAGAGATGCACACTAATATATATTAGTAAAGGGGAGGTCTCTTATCAACTCGTTTATAAATCCAAACAGAGACGTGCTTATAGCCTTATACATGTGAAAGGAAAACAATGGAGATCACACCTGCTGGCTGCGACCATGAGATTCCTGAACACCTATTCATGTGCTCTAGACTTTACATCGCAGCATTTCGCGGTTACACAGATGAGGTCTTCAGTCTCTTAGCCGGAAGCAGTGGCGCCGCCGTGGAGCCGGCGAACAGCCGGCCGTCGCCGGCAGCGCAAGAACATGGTACTTCAAGCTTCCTTAGCTATGCAATCCATCAAATATTCTAAAACAAATGAAGTTATAATTTATGAGCAATTCATGGTTGAGGAAAGCAAATGAACTTTTCAGCGAATCACCATGGAGGCTGCAGCATTCGCGAGGTGACCGCAGAGCGCAGCAAACTTCTCCACATCGCCGCGGGGGAAGGACACGGCGAACTGATCGCCGAGCTGTGCAGTCACGACAGCAGCCTCCTCTCCTCGTCGAGCTCGTCGGGGAACACGCCGCTGCACTGCGCGGCGAGGGCGGGGCACGCCAGCGCGGTCCGTGGCATCGTGCGGCTAGCCCGGGCCAACGTGGAGGAGGACAGGCTGAAGGCGATGCTGCGTGGCATGAACGCCACTGGGGACACCGCGCTGCACCTCGCCGCGAGGCACGGCCATGGCGAGGCGGTGGAGGAGCTGATGGAGGTGGCACCGGAGACTGCGTTGGAGCTGAACGGCGGCGGCGTGTCGCCGCTGTACCTGGCGGTGATGAGCAGGTCGGTGCGCGCCGTAAGGGCGATACTCTCTTGTAGGGATGCATCGGCTGCTGGCCCTAGTTCTCAGAATGCGCTGCATGCTGCCGTTCTCCAATCTTCAGGTTAGTCTTTTGTTGACGACACTGTCACACTACAGACCACGTGTGTGCAAATTTTCAATTAATCTTTACACGTGCTAAACTACTAATTAAGGGTGGAACACAAAAGATTAGTAAATTTCAGTTAGAGCATGGTTAATATAAAAGCTAACGGATTATGTACAGGCATTCTAATAGTCTACCTATACAGTTGTTAGCCATAGAGACATATTGCATGTCCCACCTCACTAAAAGCCATGTTGCAGCTAGTTACATTATTATATATGCAGCCCACTTTTCTTTTCTTGGCTCCAACTCACGGTGGCAACTCCTATAGCTCACTTGCACCACCTCTACCTTCTCTTACCTCCAATTATGTGTGATTTACTTTTAAAGAATTTTATATTTAGAATAAAGTATTATGTGTCTTCAAAAGCATTACTACCGAAACCTAATAGGTGCTGGTTGAGAACTCCACATAAATGTTGGATTCCTGAACCGATATCCATCAGGCGGCACAAGTGAGGAGGAATCAAAGGTGTCGGTTAAGGAACCGACACCTTTAAGATTCCATGAATAAAAAAAGGCTAACTGATTGAGAAGCTCCCCATTAGCCGGAGATCGATCAACATCCAATAACACAATCATAGAATTTATATTCAAAAGCAAAACTTGCATCCACTTATCAAAATCCAACAATACAAAGAACAGTGAGGGAGTTGAGGGAGCAAATGAACATCACGGAGAACACAGAGAGAAAAAAGAGGGAGTTGAGGGAGCCACGTCGATATCGAGTGGGCACCATATGCTCGTGGCGATTGAGGGAGTTGAGGTAGCCATGGCTTTGTCGAGCGGGCTGCCCCCATGCTTGCGGAAGTGGATCCGACTGCCCTAGTGTGGAGAGAAGGGGCGGCGAAAGATAGGGAAAGGGACTGTTGGAGGAGAGTGGGAGGGACGGTGAAGAGAGAAGAGAGGAGGGGAGAGCAAGAGGGAGGACACCGAGAGAGACGCGAGGAGAAAAATCAGGTCATGTGGCTCGATTTTCATCGGCTCAGCTCCACAAAATATGTCAGATTTTTAGAAAACCGGCACTGATATATCCTGTTAAATGCCGGTATTATTAAAAAATTGGTACATGTATTTGCACTTTGAGGGTATATTAGTGCTGGTTTTTAATTTTAGACTCATGTGACAGTTGGAAAGGGGTTATATTAGTCACTTTTTTTTAGAAATAGACACCTATAAGGCGTCCCTTGCTAGGGATTCCGTAGTAGTAGTGAAGGTCTGAAATTTAGTGAATCAGTTTCTAAAAAACGACTTTTGGTGAAAAACTAGGAAGATAGTCTGCGCATTCGCACGGCAAGCATCGTACGATAAGTTTGAGGCACTTATAAAAGCGAAATATTAACTGGAGAACATATGTCATGATATCTCCATAAATTTTTTCATTGGCATTAGTTGCTTTTATAATTTTCTAACCTATTAGCTTTATATTATATCATATTTAAGTAATATTTATAAGCAACTATTTATAATCTTCTTCATCATTTGAAAGGAAGGTAGACTTATTTTCTTTAGAAAAGTAAGGTGTTTTTTAATTGTATATATAGTATCATAGTTTATTATAGGATGAATTGGGTGGGGATACAACAATCTATAGTTAGTGATGTCTCATTTATTCGATGATAATAATAATACTAATATGTGAAAACAATTTGGAGATATAAAGCCGCATTACAGCAAAAACAAAAACTAATAATCTATATACCTAATTAAAAAATTTGTAAGGCTTCTGTATATTTTTGTCCATCTCTTTTTTTTCTTTTTTGTTGTCGCTTTTTTTTGTCTGGCTAGTTTCTTTTCCATGTGAAACGGTTTTTTTGGGCTTTTGGTTTTTTTTTCATCGCTCGCCTTTTCCTTTCTGCTCTCAGTTCGATCCGCTGCACGCGTGCAAAGCCGTCGTCTGGATCAAACCCTAGCACGATGTGGATTTGTCTCCCTGTACGTTTCCTCCTTCAGTTGATTGCAAAAATCGATTTCCTACTCTACCTTATTATATCCCCCATGATTTCCCCTTTCGATTCGGTTTTAACTTTTAATTCGTTGGATTTAATCTCAATTGAAGATGGCCAACCAGCAAGCTTTCACAGCCTTAATCCCGAGTTTTGCTAATTCTCTCTGATTTTGAAAAAAAAAAGGGAAAGAGGAGATCGAGTAGATCAAAATCCCTCAATCAATTTTGGAAGAACTCCTACCTCATTCTATTCCCCATGATTTCCCCTTTCAATTCGGTTTTAGTTTGTTGGATTTAATCTCCATTGAAGATAGTCTCCGTACCGATTAAAAAACGGTTGTAGCTACTGGGCGACGAAATGGATTTTGGAATTTATTGACATTCTCTAGAAAAGGTACTGTCAATAATCCCGTCGGCACAGAAACCATTAAGAGAACGCCCAATAACTTATTAGGTAATGTACGGAGTATTTGAAACACGGGAAAGAAGTACTACTCGGGTAATATTTCCTGAGGAGTTGCAAATGGATCCACCGGTTCACCAATCATTGATGGCTCGAGAACCGCTAAACCTACATTACATGCAATAGTACCTAGAATTACTACTGGAAAAATATATAAAAGATCATTGGGCCACGCGGGTTCCCCGTAATAATTATGTCCCATCCCTGTAGCTAATTTTGCTATTCGGTTTTAGTTTGTTGGATTTAATCTCCATTGAAGATAGTCTCCGTTGAAGATGGCCGACCGCCGAGCTTTCCCAGCCTTAATCCCGAGTTTTGCTAATTCTTCTAATAAAACAAAAAGAGGAGATCGAGTAAACCAAAAGCCATTCAACCAATTTTGGGAGATTGATAAAGATTCGACCAGATTTGGTGAGGAGAATTGGCTCCGACATCATCGGAATGCCTTTTGGAGGTTGAAGATGCACTCGGTTATGCGAGCTAGTCCTGTTTGCGGGCTGTGCCGAAGAAAGATAGGCTAAGAGATGGGAGGTATTGAACTAGGCTAGAGCTGAAAAGGAAGAAAGCAGAGTTTCAGCCCAAAACAACAAAGGATTTTCATTAACTTTTTCAATTATAATGTATATAGTGATCCTAATGTTTTAATTTATTACTTGGCTTCTAATAGTTGTATCACTGAAAAAACATCTTTACCCGTTGCAACACACGGGTATTTTTTCTACTAGTTAAACAACAAAAACCTCCAACTACACATATATCTGAAATTCTGACATGACACGGCTGATCGATCACCCTGTCACTACCGAACCCCTAAAATCAAATTTGGAACTACTAATATAAGGATTATTGTGTCTAATCTATTTCTTGAATTATCGATCCTTGATGTCGATCACAGGAGGTGGCGTTGAAGTTGAGGAGCTTCCACGTCTTGGACTCGATCCGGGCCAGGATTCCCAGCCGGGTTTTTTTATACTCCGATCTATAATAAAAATATGGTAGAAGATAATAATGTATTCGATTATATAAAACAACGGCTCATCAAATAAATTAAAAAATTAATATATAACTCTCGAGTTATAAGCGCTAATAACTATCTAATTACCTTTTTTTATATATTTAGTAGTTAGTTGGAAAATGAGAGAGATTAGCTAGAAAATAGGAAATGGGAGGGGGGAGTCGGTGGACATACATACTGGGAGGAGGGGCACGTACCTTGCTTTGCTTAATTTAGGGGGAGGTTAAATTAGTTATTTAATCATAATAGATTCAATGGATCTAAATAGTGGGTCCGCCGGTTTATTAGAGTGCCACGTGGCTTCGTAGGAGCATTTGTAGGAGTTCTATGTGACGGCTTGAGAATATTTGTATAAAGTTTAATAGACTTTTAGTGTATAATAGAGAGATGTACTGATAGCATGAAGAAATCTGCATGTTTTCATCTAATTCAGTAGGTAACTCTTCGAAGCTTGCAAGCAACTTTCCAGGTGACTCTACATACAGACAAAATATAATAGATCAGTGGGATTGTACACTTAGCAATGTCTATATCCTCTTTAAACGAACCAGAGCAAATCACTTGATTGCACAAATCGGTATAGTCAAATTGGAAGGAGACAGCTGGTAACGACGTGTAGACCTTGATGATAGAACAACAATCATAAATTACTCACGGTGAGAAGTTGACAATTTTCAATGTGACATGGTATTCAAAGGTCAACGACAATTAAGATAAGTATTTAACTAAGTATTGCACAAATCAGCTCACAGTATAGAAATGTTTGCAAGCATTGCGTCTCCTCTATACATAATATATTAATCTGAGCTGTTTGCTAAAGAACATATGGTTTACCCACATTATGATAATTTTTTTTGTGCAATATGGTTGATATAACTAATCAAATTTTAAAAAGCCATCGTAATCAGTTTATCTTCATATAGGTCCGTATACTACTACCCTCTATTAGATATAAACATACCCAGCAATTTTGACACTTTAACCCTTTGCATAACTTATTTTATATATGGATCCCGACAAAACCTAAATAAAAAGAAAAACGAAACCACAACGCCAGTCCCAACGGCATAGAGCCATCGAGGTCCAACATATCTCAGCGACAGAGGGTCTGGTGCTAACCTCCTTGGCATGCCATAGACATGGCGATGCCAGCATCAATGTTGTTGGAGTTGACCACATATGATTAAAAGTTGATAGGCCCAACTAAGCAGAAGGTGAATGTGGTCTAGCAGTGACCCAAACTTGATATGGCTCTAGTCAGTACAACTCTTCTTTCTTCTTCTTCTTCTTCTTCTTCTTCTTCTCAATGGGCACTTAGATGCAAGCAACTGAATAAAAAAAATATATGGAAAAGGAATGGGCATAAGGCTCTAACACAGGATACTGGAAGCTGGGAATGGAAAGCATGAACTTCAGTTTTGAAGTATTACATCAAAATTTTTTGTATGTGCTGCCATTCATTTGCTTCAATTTTTTTTACAATTTTTTGAAGTAAGTATATATTACATGATAGAACATAATTATCAAAGTCTCCAATCATTTGTAAAAATGCTTATTGGCTGTGTCCCTGGTGATAGAGGCCAGAGAGGCCAAAGATGTACTAATCATTTCCGTTGTTAAACAATTGTAGAAATGGTTTCATTGCTACTACAGTGGAAACCAACACTTGCTACTAAGGTTGACAGCAGTAAGAGCACTCCACTACATTTCGCTTCATCTGACGGGGATTGTTCCATCATCCAAGCAATCCTAACTCATTTGCCACGTAGCGCTACAAACATCCAAGACAACAAGGGCCTTTCACCTCTACACATTGCAGCACTAATGGGCCATACAGAAACAGTTCGCATGTTGCTGCAGTTCTCCCCTGCTTCTGCAGACATTTGTGACAACCAAGGCCAAAGCTTTCTACATGCAGCAGCTATGAAGGGCCATTCTTCCATCATCTCATACGCTGTAAAGAACAGCATGCTTAAGCATCTTTTGAATGCCCAAGACAAAGAGGGGAACACGCCGCTCCATTTAGCTGTCGTTGTAGAGGAATGCAAGGTTGTTTCTAAGCTATTATCAAGTGGAGAGGTACATGCCAACATCATGAACAATGCAGGCCACACACCATCTGACATCATAAAAAGATGTAAAGGTTTCCACTCAATGGTAATTGTCTCTCTACATCTCATCCATATGCAAAATAAAAATATTCCTTGTGATCGTAATTCAATTCAGTCCACTAAGAAATAGGCTAAGGAATTGTGTTATGCAGGTAAGTTTAGTAGTAAAGTTGCATGAGTCAGGAGCACAGTTTCAACCACAAAGGCAAGATCTTATAGAGAAATGGAATGCTCAAGACATCATGAAATGGAGAGACAATACATCAAAAAATCTCGCTGTTGTTTCAACACTTATAGCAACGATTGCCTTTGCCGCAGCATTCAATGTTCCTGGATCATATGGAGATGATGGGAAAGCGAATCTAGCGGGTGACCCCATGTATAACGCTTTCCTGATTCTAGACACCATCTCCATGGTTACTTCAGTTGTGGCGACAATACTGCTGGTATATGGGAGGGCCTCCAGATCTCATCGCTCATGGCTGAGCTTTGTGATCTCAATGTACTTTCTGTGGCTGTCAATAAATTGCATGGTGTTCGGCTTCTTCACAGCAATAGCCGCAGTAAGCAAGAAGGGCATAAAGATTGCAATGTCCCAACTGATCTACCATGGGATGTACATCTTGACAATGCAGCTTACATTTTTAGCAATGCCAGGGTCATTTATAAGCACTATGAAGTTCCTCGTAAGTGGTAGAATGGAGAGACAGCAACACGCTAAGAGGCACATCAAACGGCAATATCCCTTCATTGCCTTTTACACTTTCAATGTAATCTTCTTCTTCATTATAAATAATATAGCAATGTTGACATTCGATGCCACTAGAGCTCTTAGTTTTTGATGCAAGGTTGTGTAAAATACAACAGATAGGATAATTGCAAGATTTGTTGATGGACTTGTATTCGTCATTTTTTTTCCAATTTACTTACTCGGAAACCTATGTTTTCATCGTCCAACATAGATTTATATTTGATCAACAAAGTTTGTGTGCATTATATGATAAGAAGATTTAAGATTTCAAGTTTTCAACTAGCTTCCCCCCCCCCTTTGGTTCTCTGCCAGAAGGCAGTCTTCTCCTTGGGCAATGGCGGATCTTTATGAGCATCTCTGATTTGCTTGTTTTTGGCCAAGCGAGCTTCAACCTCTTTTGCGGAGGCCTCAATTGGGTATGCTTGTTGTCGGTCCTTAAATCATAATACCGACTGTCAATGCCTGCATATAATCAAATAAAATATGATATCTAACTTTGTGGTAGAGATTATTACTAATCATTTCCGCTAGTGTTGGTGAAATATGTGTATGCAGGTATTTTATGGATGAAAACCACCCATCATGCGACAAATACACCTCCGAACAATCAGGACGCATTTACACAGATTGGAGGCCCCATAAGTCAATAAAAAGCACCGAGGATTGAGCCCAACCATAGTACATGATGTTGGGGGCCCATTAAGAAGTCTCCCAACCAAAGGGGAGGCTGGGAGGTGGCCCAGAAGTTCGGCCGAACTCCAGGTTTGACCGAACCCTTCCTGGTGTCGTTGGTCGTCATTTTCCATGTGTATGTCCTAGATTTACTCTCAATGACGGTGGAGGGGCGTTTAGGACATTTCCAACCGCCATAACCGTCATATGGAGGCTATAAAAGGAGGAGCTCACTTCACTTTTAAGACACACAACTCTTTGAGCTGAATTACAAGAGACACTATTGTATCTTTTGTGTACATTAGAAAATAGGTAGAAAGTGAGGGGAAGCTCTGGAGGAGTGCCCTGAAGTTTGGCGCTATCTCAGACTTCTACCTCAGTGGGTGTAGCTTTCTAGAATGAATTCTGGAGGAGTACCGGAGCTGTTGGTACACTCTGCTCCGGGTTCGGAAAAACTTCTTCTATAAAGTAAGCATTTGGGATACTTTATTATGTTATTTAATTACTTAGTCTAAGTAATATAGATTTCCATCTTTGTGGGTTTGTTGTTTAGTATTCGTACTAAGTGATCTAGTACTAGGACTCTAGATACAGAAGGAAGTTCCTGCGCACGTATTAGAGTAGTAATTAATAACTTAGGCCTGGTGTCTAGGTTAGAGATTATCTTTGTTTGTTGTGTATCCTACGGATTTGTCAAAGGTAGACGACAGGTGGTGATAGCCCTGAATCCCATCCTAGTAATCCTCCACGTTCGGGTACATCATAGAGCTATAGCTGGAACCACGCTGGCAGACTAGCAGGGGTCGGTGCTCGAAGCAACAGATAGGACATTACCTGTAACTTAGCTTAGATAACTAAAACACATAAAAAGTCCTCTCTAGCCTAGCTAGCATAGCTAGCCTACCAATAGTTGTTGTCCTTGGATAGTTGTTGACGATCGTTATAGACCAAGTTCGACCGTCAATATATCCATAATAAAGGAGAACTAGCTATGCTTGCAATGCATATTTTATTAGAAATAATATATCTCCACTTGTACTCGGAACTTTATTTGGATACAGAGATCTCTACGTAATACGAGAAGAATCAACGGAAAATAACAGGACAAACAATCGAAGACCATCGAGTGGCAGACTTATGGGTGGATGGGCTTACAAAACTAATTTAATACTTGCAAATAAGGTCAACTACCATGCCACGGAGTACAAGGCCCAACAAGAGACGTCCAGGCCAAAACTGGGGGGCCAAAAGGACCGGCCTAGGTTCTGGCCAAACCAGGGGTTCGGCCGAACCCTAGCTTGCGCCCCTCATCCTGGCCTTCCACGTGGACACTCCTGATCGCTCCTCAATGATGGTTGCGGGGTATTATACTTGTCTCGATATAATGATGTAGCTAGCTTGCCAAAGATATGCAATGGTGTGGGATTAATGTTCATTTCGGTGATTGCTCTATGTCTGCTACAGTGATGTGGAGTAGTATTTAGTAATGTAAGCGCGGTGCTTAGATTATTAGATACCATTAAATGGTACTATATGCCATAGGTCTGTAGAGGTGGGCTGCTGATGGTGACAGTTCAGTACGGGTATTCCTCCACGTGCGTATATAGTACTAAGACAATTTCCTGGTGTCAGTACTCCTCCATATTCATTACCGGTCGGATGGTCATGATTGGTTGTCGTAAGAAACTCGGCAATCAGGGGTAGTCTCTCGAAACACTAGGAGGGCATAGTTAGGGGTATTGGATGCATAATTGTATACTAGCAAGTGTATATATAATGAGAGTATCATGGTTATCTCTTCTATGTGTGAATTCATTTCTACCCTTGAATATGATTAACCCCTACATAGACTTTGATCAATACAAGTGATATAAATTATTAGCATAGTACTATTTTATCATATCTTCCCTTGGGATTAAATAAATATGATATCTTAGAATACTTCCGGATAAAATGCTATAACGGTATATCCGTGCGCTTGCGGATTATATCTGTATCCCCCAAGAATATTTCGGCGCCATTGCTGGGAATTATATTTCTAGTAATGTCGTTAAGAAATATCAACAAGCATTTCTAGCGCCGTTGCCGGGGAAGATATTTGATTAAGAGTTTACTACATGCTAATAATTTTATATTCACCAATGTATGATCATTGTCCTTTGCAGACTAACCTTGATTGTTTTCGCTTTATTGTGAAAACAGAGTAGTGTATGACTGGTTTCAATTTACCGAAGAACTTCCAAGACAATCCCGAAGCCTTCTTTAGGTGCGTCAAACTGCGTGTTGTCCCTCCTCAGAAGACACTTTTGGTAAAGAAACCAACCATCCAAGCGCCTCCAGTTTTCAAGTCCATGGCTGAGAAGACCCTTCGCGAGTTCGATGCTCCCTCGCTGACAACATGCCCGTTGGACCCCTCCCCAAGTCAACGTGGGAGATGGTGACTTTGATCTGAAGACCAGCCTGGCCACGATGGTGCAGGCTAGCCCGTTCTGCGGCAAACCTAATGAGGATGCAAGTGCTCATCTGCAGCAATTCCTGGAAATGTGTAGCTCGTATATTGTCAAAGGAGTCAGCCCAGATGCAATCAGGCTCCGACTGTTCCCGTTCTCACTCCTCGGGAGAGCAAAACAATGGTTCTACGCCAACTGTGCAATGGTGGATACCTAGAATAAGTGCTCAACGGCATTCCTCTTAAAAATTTTCCCGATGGGTAAGACTAATGCTCTCCGTGAAAGAATATCCGGTTTTCAACGGACGAGGGATGAAACCTTACCTAAAGCTTGGGAAAGGCTGTAGGAATATATCACCACCTGTCATCATCATAGGATGGACAAGTGGCTCATCCCGCAAAGTTTCCCACACTACTACAAAACATCAAATAGGTGTTGCCACTATAGGTGACGGTAGTGCTAAAACGGGCACCTATAGTGTTTTTCTCACTTTTGTAGGATGAAAAAATTAAAACCAACACCTTTAAATAAAGATAGGTGCTGGTTTTTTCGTTAAAACCGGCACCTATACCTATAATATATTATAGGTATCGGTTTTTTAAAAAACCGACACCTGCAATATATTATAGGTGCCGGTTTTTGCGAAAAAACCGACACGTATTAAATCGAGGCAAGCCAGCCGAGGGAGATATTTTTCCTCCTGGTGGGGCCCAGCTCTTGGCAAGATAAGGCTCGCGCGCTTGGCTCTTCTCGATCTCTCTCTCGGCTTCTCCTCTCCTCTCTCTCTCTCTCTCTCTCCCGCCTCTCCCATGGGCAGCGTAGGCGGCGGTCTCCCACGGGCAGGAACGCGCGGCAGCGGGAGGGAGGCGACAGCTGCGGTGGCAGCTGCAGCGACAGCGGCAGGAGTCACCCTCCCCTCCACTAGATCCGGCGGCAAGAGGGGAGGCGGTGGCTGCCCGGCGGCAGGAAGCGGTGGTGGCCCGGCGGCGGGACGGCGGTGGTGGTCCGGCGGCGGGACGAGAGGCGGCGGCACCCTACCTCCATTGGATCTGGAGGGAGGGCATGCGGCGGCGGCTCGACGGCAGGAGGAGGTGGTGTCCCGGTGGCGGAAGGAGTGGCAGTGGTGGAGCCCTCCTCTGAATTTTGTGAAAGATTCAATGTTAGTGAAAGATTTTAGTGATGCTTTTCAATGTTTATTGTTCTGTGATTTGTTTGATTGGGGATTGGGATTGATTCTAGTGATGTTAGTGATGTTTGTTGTTCTGTGAAAGATTTTAGTGATTTGTTTGATGCGGGGTGGATGAGCTCGGCTCGATGCATCGGCACCGATTCAAGCTGGTGCATCGAGCCAATTTTTTTTGGCTCATGAACCTCTCAAAGGTGCCGGTTTTCAAAATATGATTGGTGCCAGCTTCAACATCAGTGCCACCTTTATGATGCCGGTTGGGAAAACCGACACCTAAGGGGTTTCCCAACCGGCACCTTTAACGTGTTCTGTGGTAGTGCCACGGCTCAAGCCTATACCGCTGCATGCATGGGCTATGAGGGAGGAGCGTTATCTCACGGCTCGTAGTTATATATAGTCGCATAAGTCATTGCGTGAATACTACTTCCTCCGTTTCACAATGTAAGTCATTCTAGCATTTCTCACATTCATATTGATGCTAATGAATCTATATAGATATAGATTCGTTAGTATCAATATAAATGTGTGAAATGATAGAATGACTTACATTGTGAAACGGAGGGACTATGTATGTACATTGTAATCTATACGTACCCTACCCGGACGGAACACAGTCCTCTAGTCCCTTGTGTTCAACTCAATTTTAACCTGCTAAGTGCTAAGTACCCAAGTATTAATCGAGTGATGTGGGTTGTTAACATACAAAAGTTAACGAACTCTGTCGGTATTTAACAAAAGATAAGTTACAATACAAATTGTCTAATGAATGAGATCTCCTCGGACAGAGATGCACACTAATATATATTCTAGTAAAGGGTAGGTGTCATGCATATCAACTCGTTTATAAATCCTAAAAGAGACATGCTTATACATGTGAAAAGAAAACAATGGAGATCACACCTGCTGGCAGCGACCATGAGATTCCTGAACACCTATCCATGTGCTCTAAACTTTACCTCGCAGCATTTCGCGGCTACACAGATGAGGTCTGCAATCTCTTAGCCGGAAGCAGTGGCGCCGCCGTGCAGCCGGCGAACAGCTCGCCATCGCCGGCAGCGCAAGAACGTGGTACTCCAAGCTTCTTCAACTATGCAAGCGATTCTAAAAATTTATGAGCAAGTCATGGTTAATGAAAGCATGTGAACTTTTCAGCTAATCACCAAGGACCCTGCAGCATTCGCGAGGTTACCGCAGAGCTTCGCACGCTTCTCCACATTGCAGCCGGGCAAGGACACGACGACCTGATCGCCGAGCTGTGCCTTCACGACAGCAGCCTCCTCTCCTCGGCCAGCTCGTCGGGGCACACGCCGCTGCACTGCGCGGCGAGGGCAGGGCACGCCCTCGCCGTCCGGGCCATCTCGCTGTTGGCCGGGGCAAGTGTTGAGGAGGACAGGGTAAGGGACGTAGTGCGCAGCAAGAACGTCGCTGGGGACACCGCGCTGCACATCGCCGCGAGGCACGGCCATGGCAAGGCGGTGGAGGAGCTGATGGAGGTGGCGCCGGAGACCGCGTCGGAGCTGAACGGCGCCGGCGTGTCACCGCTGTACCTGGCGGTGATGAGCAGGTCGGTGCGCGCCGTCAGGGCCATTATCTCGTGCAGGGATGCGTCGGCTGCCGGCCCTAATTCTCAGAATGCGCTGCATGCCGCGGTGCTCCAATGTTCAGGTAATTAAGTCTCTGCGTCTACTGACAGCATACTACATAAGCTACACGTATGTATGGACTGTATGCAGATTTTCAACTAATATTCACACGTGTTAATTAAGGAATAATTAAACACAAAACATCATTTTATTCCATGGAATGATTTGTTTGATAGCTATTCTTAAAGCACAGTGCTTTTTACTTTTGAAAAGGGGAAGCACAAATGTTTAACTGAATTTAATTAATGGTAAGCGCCAGAAATACCCAAAGAAGACATATTTTTGTCAAACGGCACAAGAGACAAATTAAAGTGCATACACTTCCTATTGGAATTTTAATAATTTAGTCAAATTAATCTTATCATAATCGATAAATGTTTATGACCACTTACCGAAGGTGAATTTTAGATAATAGAAATGGATTACATATCTGACTTCTGTCATAAGACACACATGCATAAGTTTAATAAAAAAAAGTGAAGATAAAAATAATCAAAATGAGAAATAAAGTGATGGAACAAGTCCCCAACTCCCCTTTATTACTAACTAGCGTTAAATCATATAGATTTTTTAGCTAGTAATTCTAATGGAACTATGCCACTCATAGTGAAAAAAGAGGCTCTTGGCTATCGTTTCCAAGAGTATAGCATCATTGCACATAGTATCATGCTCTTCCTATGGTAGCAACGTAGACCAAAAGTGGAGCTGATAGGAAGACATGAAGATAACCTTCATAGAGTTAGATAATTATTTACCATTAAATATTTTATCATTATGACAACGCCAAAACCAAGTTGTATTGGGTTCAATATAACAGACATATCATATGTGTTCACACAAAAGGAAAAAATAAACCATAATAATAAATTAATGTGGCGGCCAAGTGTGTATGTCATGATTCTTGGCATTCGTGTGTGGACCCACCAACCACTCAAGTCATGTCCTAGGCTTGTTTATCTTCGCACCGCCGCATGCCAGACCTAATGCAAGCCGAATCAATTCCCTTCATCGTGTCACTAGCTTGCACCGTAGGAAATATAACTTACCTAGTTGATCACATGTAAATTCTTGGAAATGCATGGCTTAGGCAACCACATTATTTTTTGTTAACCATGCTTATGAACCATTTTCTTGGAAATGCATGCTTATGAAGCAGCATAGCTTGTTCTCATTTTTTTAATGTTATATATATCCTCTATGATACCTTATTGGAAGTCATCACTTCAACCGCATTTCTCCTTGGTATAGTACACATCTGTGTGCTACCTTATCCGAGCTACCGTATATCATCGCTATTACTCCTCGGTAGCCGCACATCTTTGCCCATGATATCTCACCAAAGCAGCCGCACCCACTCATGAAGCCACGCCAAAACCAAGACATAAATCCCTTTTCTTCTCATCATTGGCACATCATTGATGTGTATAGGTATCATATACGGTACTAATAGTGTATCATAAAAGTATTATCTTTGGTCCCATGTGTTGATGCGAAAAACATCAATTTTGGTCGTTAACACCATGCTAATTAATACCTAGATCATTGGTATATATAATATCAGACTTGGTACCAACATATACCATGCCTACTACGTGGATATAATGTCTGGTATATATACATATTGTGCCTGATACCAGAATATCATATCTCACATGTACAAGTGACATATGTAATACATATTATGCATATGACTATATCAAAATATGAAGTTGGTGCCTTAAATCACCAGTGTACATGTGTGTCGGCCCTAGTACCATGATGGTACCTCAAAGTATTACATTTGGTACTTGAGTATCATATCTTATAGGTTAGGTGGTGATAAATCAATGTATGAGACATGAACGTGATTTTTGGTACCCATATGTATTAGACCTAGTACCCATAGATATCATAAGTATCACTTATGTTCTGCAAAGGTATCACTTGTACCACTAGTATTTCGTGAGGCATCATCAAATATCACATGTGTACCAAAAAATCATCATACATCCATATTTTTTCCTAAATTTAAAAGGTGCCATTGTATTTTATAAAACTTGGTGTTCCATGAAGAATAGTAGTAATAGTTGTATATTATTGATATACAAATGGCTAAAGTTTTATGTGATCGAAAAAACTTGGAGACAATTTCATATTAAAATAAAGAAGTAAATTTAATTAAGCAAAGCAAAATCCATAGAAAAAGTGGAGAAAATGGATCTAAACGAAAATAAATGGGCCGATGATAACTCTTGGCCGCTGCCATTTGACGTCGTAGGCTTAAGTTTGAGCCATAGTTATTAGGACCGGACCGGACCGGCGGTCCGACCGGAAAAAACCAGAACTAGGGCCTCGGCCGGTCCGGTCCTCTTAAAAGATCGACTATGCAAGTGAACCGGGAAAAACCAATTGAGCCGGGCGGTTTTTATGTAAACCGGACATTGGGCCGGACTGGTCAGACCAACTGAGCCGGATTATTGGGCTGTTGATGGGCTATGGCGAAGCCCACTTCAATCCTAAAGACATAAATTCCACCAAAATAGCTAGAAAAGGGTGTGGGTGTGGTGGTGGGGATTCGACGTTGGGTTGCATGGCAGGAAGCAAGAGACACTAGCTAGCCAACCCAGGTTTCTTCACTTGTGTTGACATAAGACATATACATCCTATTATACATTGAAACTGTGGTTGGACCGGGCAAACCACTAAACTGGTGAACCGAGAACTGGTTTGAGCCATAGTTATTAGGACCGGACTGGCGGTCCGACCGGAATAAACCGGAACCAGGGCCTCGGCCGGGCCGGTCCGGTCCGGTCCGGTCCTCGTAAAAGATCGGCTATGCAAATGAACCGGGGAAAACCAATTGAGCCGGGTGGTTTTTATGTAAACCCGGACGTTGAGCCAGACTGGTTGGACCAGCTAAGCCGGATATTGGGTTGTTGATGGGCCGCCGGCGAAGCCCACTTCAATCCTGAAGGCACAAATTGCACCAAAATTGCTAGAAAAGGGTGTCGAAGCCCACTTCAATCCTAAAGGCACAAATTGAACCAAAATAGCTAGAAAAGAATCCTGAAAGCACAAATTGCACCAGAATAGCTAGAAAAGGGTGTCGAAGCCCACTTCAATCCTGAAGGCACAAATTGCACCAAAATAACTAGAAAAGGGTGTTGTGGAGGGGATTTGACCTTGGGTTGCTTGATTGGGAGCAAGACACGCTAGCCAACTCACCATCTCTTTACTTGTATTGATAAAGACATATACATCCTATTATACATTGAACCGCGGTCGGACCAGCCAAACCAATGGTCCAACCACTAAACCGGTGAACAGAGAGCTTCACCGGTTCATTCACCGGTCTGGTCTTAATAACTATGGTTTGAGCACGAGCGAGCAGAAACTCGGTTCAACCGGAAGGATCAGCCGCCACAGGGTGGATCGATAACGTGGCGCCCGTAGATGATGTGCTTAATTAACTGTACCATTAGAACGTCAGTCCGTCGCCTAGTTTCTCTGTTTGTTTTTATATCGATATAATCAACAATTATATATGCATAGATACAAATTAGGTTCATTTCTGGGCAGTTTATTTTCAGAGACATATTTACAAAACAATTATGTGCTGTCAACAAGACTTAACTATCTTGATGGTTAAGTATATTTGGTGATAAATGCCCTGATACCATGAAATAAATTCTGAATATTTTTGTTTTGTTCAGTAGTTAAACTTATTTCTGAACATTGATAGCTATGATCAAGAGGAAGATTACAATCAAATTCATATGGTTTGCAAGGAACTTTTCCGGTAACTCCATATCCGATTTCCTATCTTACTATAAAGTTATAACCCACTAATTCTAAAACACAACATGCAAACATGCCACCTCATCATCCACTAGCAATAAATTACGTACAAAATTTATGTAAGCATGCAACATCATCTATAATTAATTAAATTCTACAAATCAACATTCATTCATCTTCCTTCACATTATATATACATACCAATTATTTTTTATAATATTTAACATATATTCATCCATATAATCAAAGTGCGGGATATCATATTTCATCTATAATCTCATACAGAGTCTACTAAATTTATTTCTCTTAACATAGTTTCACAAATCAGTTTTATTAGTTGTTAATAACTAATATAATTTTTACTATTAGCTCGATTATTAAAAATTACTTAGTAACCCGCATCAAAGCGCGGGGAATCACCTAGTTACTTAAAAAGTTACAACCCACTAAACTCTAAAGCTCAACATGCAGAGATATCACATTATCATTCACTAGCAATTATTACATCCATCAAGCAAGTATGCTATATTACTTATACTTCTATAATTTATCAGTAGCGCTATTCCACGCGCTACAGCGCGGAATAATAATTCAAGCGCCGCACAACGCCTTCTCCTTCCAGTTTTTCCCCTTCCGGTTTTTCCCTTTTTTATCACCCCACCTTCCGTGTTTCTTTTTTCTCTTTTACCACCCCACCTTCCGTGTTTCTTTTTTCTATTTTCTATCTTATCCGTGCTTCATCAATGGGTAACCATCCAGATTTTTCTCTTATTCATTCCTTCTCTATAGTTTTTCTGTTTTCACGTTTTAGTAAAATATTTACCGTCTAGTTTTTCATTCCGAGTTTTCCATTTTTTCTAGTATCTCCGCACGTCTCAAAAGTAACGAATTTACTCTGTGTTTTTCATTTACTCCTAGTCTCCCACATCTGCTCATTCTCGTATAACGCCATACCTATATGGTCATAAAAGAATTACTACCAGCTTACAATGCTAGTAATTCTTTTACCAATATTATTTAGATTTCATGGTCTGTGAGAAACAATTACTACATTCCTCTCGATATAGCCCATGATGTCATAGCCACCGTGTAGTAATAACCACCGTGTAGAGTAATATGTTTAGTGATGTGTTCAATACACAATATAAGAGTAAAAGTAAAAACTAAGATTTTGTGGTCTGCGAGTAAAATAATTACCACCTTCCTCTTGATATAGCCATGATCTTGTAGCCACCGTGTAGTAATATGTTTACTGATGTGTTCAATATACAGTATAAGAGTAAAAACTTGTACTAAGAGTATTGTTGATCTGTTTCACAAAATAGTCGTATGAATGAAAAAATTACAAGCTCAATCACACACAAGCGATAAAATTACTCACAGGTGAATCAAACTAGAAAAGAAAAAAATAATTCAGCCAAAAGTCCATCATGGAATCATGGAAGGATGTAGCGGTGTGGTATAGATATGAGCTCGACGTTGCGCAATAGCAGCCATCCATCATCTAGCAAGCATAAAAAAAATGCAAAAACATTCTCATTCATGTCAATACAGATAACGAGCAAAAGAAAAATAGCAAACAATCTCCATCACCGGTGGACTCCACCCTATCCTCTACGGCCAGCCACATGGAGTACGATGTGCAAATGTAGGACCTGTGCAGCCCATCAATTGAGATCAAGTAATATTGGAGATTGCATGTTAATTTGATTTGCAAAAGATATTAGGGCTTCATGTGTGAAGTTGAAGGAGATTATGCATATGCAAATCAGAGTGTCATTTCCTTACTTGCTTGTTCTATCAATGTCGCCAACGTGGAGCAACCGCTTGTTGTTACTATTGGCCCAGGTAAAGACCTCCTTGCTGGTTAAGATGTTGCCTAGCGTCCAGCAGCGAGGCCTGAAGTAGTGCCTTCGCCTTAACCGCCGCTGGCCACCGCCATCAGCCGCCACGGTGTCGTCATCCTCCTCCATGGTGTGTCGCCGATCTGTGGGCTAGGATGGTGGATCGATTCAGATCCAAAAAAAAAAGGAAAAAACGGAGTGGGGTCAAGAGTGGTTGGTTGGGTACAAGAAAAATAGAATATATACCGCCAGCAGAGAAGTTATTTTTATCAAAGTAAATCATTTACTCCAATAATGGTGGGTGCACGATGCGGGACGTGGGGTAGGATCGGAAGCAGGAGAGTTGTTTTTATTATCAAAATAAATCGTTCACTCGAATAAAGGTGGGTGGTTGAGGCGCGCGATAGGAGTAAATCGTTTACTACGACAACGGTAGGAGTGGGATGACGGGACGTGGGATGGGATGGGTCTGAGCTGATGCATGTTTAGCGCTTGGAATATTAGGAGCGCGCTGCGCTTCTAATAGTTGTTCTAATAATTTATTTAATTTAAGGGCTTTAAAATACAATAATGTTAAATCATCATTCCATATGATTAACATATTTATTTTAATATATCGCTCATCATTTTTCTAATATCCTACTTACCTATATAGCTCATTCTCACTTTAATGATATTTCTCTCTTCTCATATTAAGGTGGTATTTGAATCCAGGGACTAAATTTTAGTCACTGTCACATCGGATGTTTGGACACAAATTAGAAGTATTAAACGTAGACTAATAATAAAACTAATTGCATAAATGAGAGGTAATTTGCAAGCCAGATTTGTTAAGCCTAATTAATCCATAATTAGCACATGTTTACTATAGCATCACATAGGCTAATCATGGATTAATTAGGCTCAATAGATTCGTCTCGCGAATTAGTCCAGGGTTATGGAATGGGTTTTGTCATTAGTCTACATTTAATACTTCTAATTAATATCTAAACATTCGATGTGACAGGGACTAGAATTTTAGTCACTGATCCAAACAGCCCCTAAATCATATCATATCAATTATTTATAGCCCTTAAATGATCTATGGTCTAAATTATCTCCCTCTTTTTCTTCTCTCATTAAGTCGTATCAACTTATTGTTTTTAGTCTATAATCAAAATAATATCTCTTCTTTTCTTCTCTCATAAAGCAGCATCACCTTACTTTTACATGTGAATCATAATTCTATATCCTATTTAAATTATCATAAACCACATTTTATATATAAATTTTACTAATTGTTATCATACTAAGATTCCACAGCAATCCGCGAGGTTTCACCTAATAGATGAAATATAATTGATCAGTGGGTTCGTACATTGTTTACCAACTGTAGTTTTCCCCTTTAACTGAACCAACAAAACAGTAGACTGAACAAATCAGTCTGGTCGTTCTCACAAAAAAAAAAAAAATCAGTCTGATCGAATTGCGGGAGGGTAAGTAGTAAGCACTGACGTGTAGACATTGATGCATGGTAGCACAACAATCGTAAACTAACTCATGCATGGTGAGAAGTTGACAATTTTCGATGTGACGGGGGCACATGTACGTCATTTAGAATGTCAACGAAAATAAAGATAAGTGTAGAAATAATTACCGTGCAACTCAATTCGCAATATAAAATGTTTGCAACTGTGCCTCCCATATACAGGATCATGTTAAGTTGAGACCCATGTCGATCTGCTAAAAGAACAAACAATTGTATTATGTTGTGTCATTTAGAGTTGTTGGAACCCCTCTCCTCCGCCGTAAAACAGAGCAAACGGATTAACGCGTGGTTAATTAAGTATTAGTTTAAAAAACTTAAAAAATGGATTAATATAATTTTTACAGCAACTTTTATATAGAAACCTTTCTTAAAAAAAATGCACCGCTAAATAATTTGGGAAGCGTGCACGTGATAAACGAGAGAGTGAGGTTGGGAACCTGAACACATCCGTTTGCTCTGTTTAGAAAAAAAAATGGTAAGCAATATCCACTAAATTATTTTTGAGATGACTAAAACTTTTCTGATATCCTTTTCCTCATTTATGCCGCCTATCCAATAGATAAGATGTAATCAAACAAAACAGCGTCCCAACAGAGATACGGACTCATCGTAGCCAAACAACCAAACAAGTCGTGTATTCCCACATCGCTAGCCTGGATAGTTCTTTTGAGCCAAGCTAAAGCCATCCAAGCAATCAAACACTCCCATATTTTAACAAATATATATATATATATATATATATATATATATATATATATATATATATATATATATATGCAGGGATAAGTACAATGATCACCAACAGAAAATTTGCATCCGGCCATTCATTGTCTCCATATTGTTCTTTCGCAATTTCATTTAAGCTAGCATGTATAATTAAACACTGCAAGGACACTATAATATAATTCTGAAAAACTACACCCTTTGTAGAGATGGTTTCTTTGCCACTGCAGTGGAAACCAGCACTTGCCACCCACGTGGACAGGAACAAGAGCAGCCCCCTACATTTCGCTTCATCTGATGGGGATTGTTCCATCGTCCAAGCAATCTTAGCATGCTCTCCGCCGAGCGCTCCATACATGCAGGATAACGAGGGATTCTCACCTATACATGCTGCAGCGTTGATGGGACACACAGCTACAGTTCGCCTCTTGTTGCAGTTCTCCCCTGCCTCTGCAGATATTTGTGACAATCGTGGCCAAAGCTTTGTACATACAGCAGCCACAAAAGGCCACTCTTCCATTATCTCGTATGCTATAGGTAGCAGCATGCTCGAGCATCTTCTGAACGCACAAGACAGGGAAGGTAACACGCCACTCCATTTAGCTGTGGATGCAGGGAAATGCAAGATTGTTTCTAAGCTATTATCAAGTGAAATAGTGCAAGCACACATCATGAACAATGAAGGCCACACACCATCGGACCTCGTACAAAATTGTAAAGGTTTCTACTCAATGGTATGAAACAATTATACCTCGGTCTTTATTGGCATTAATTCAACAAGCGATAGCATTTATGAATTACCAAATATGCAGGTAAGCTTAGTGGTGAAGATGTATGCCTCAGGAGCACAGTTCCAGCCACAGAGGCAAGATCATATAGAGAAGTGGAATGCTCAGGACATCATGAAATGGCGAGATACTACATCAAAATATCTTGCTATTGTTTCGACACTTGTGGCAACGGTCGCCTTTTCTGCAGCTTTCAACATTCCTGGGTCATATGGAGATGATGGAAAAGCGAATCTAGCAGGGAATTGCATGTATGACACTTTTCTGATCCTTGACACCATCTCATTAGTCACTTCAGTCGTGGCGATAATGCTACTGGTATTTGGTAGAGCCTTCAGTTCTCATCACTCATGGTTGAGCTTCATGATCTCAACGCACTTTCTATGGCTGTCAATAAACACCATGGTATTAGGCTTCTTGGCAGCTATATCTGCAGTGATGAGCAAGAAGAAGGGCTTAAACATTACAATGGCCATCCTGATTTATTTCGGGATGTGGATATTAACGATGCTGCTTACAAGCTTAACGACAGTAGGGTCATTTACAGGCATTCTGAAGTTCCTATTCGGAGGTCGCATGGAAAGACAGCGGCGAGCGAAGAGGCGCATCAGCCGGCAGTATCCCTACGCGATCTTTTACACTTTCAACATGGTTTTGTTCTTTGTCATAGCTAATATAGCATTGGCTGGATTTGACACTTTTAAATCTCTCAGTTATTGATGAAATAGTGTGGTAGGTTGCTGCTGAGCTATCAACGTGCGTGATTTGTGGATGGTGACGCTACTTATATACTCTTATTGTAAAATCGAAGGTGTTTTTTATTATTATTCTATAATGAACAATTGGCATTGGAGATTATTGGTTTTGATATTTGGAATTTATTTGCGAAGTGGTTTTGGAGATGATTGGATTTTACAGGTGATCTACAGATACTGCTGGATATGTGGTCCGGTCAGACCGGGCAGGTGCTGCCGGTCAGACTCTGTGTCAGTTTCGGTTTCGGGTTGTTTATTTGGAATCCGTGATTGTTTCATATTTATGGCTTCTATATAGATACTATGCGTATGTAATACTGTTGTTTGCTACTAATGAGTCAAGTTTGAGATAGCTTGGTCTCGGAATATGGTTTCTTTGTTTGTTTCATATGTAAGTGACTCGATGTCTCGGGAGAGTATTTGCGGTGATGGACCGGGAGTCGGCTTGGGGATAAGACGATGTCCATGGTGGTCAGAGATCATGCGGATACTAAGGCTAGAGTTCAATGCACGTGGTTGGTGAAGATTCCATATGGCATACTGTCACGCCCGGAAATTCACTAGTAATTTCCGAACTTATTTGTGCATAAAATCCTCGTCCAGGAATCAGCCGAGGTACACAAACTGACAATTTAATATACAGATTCATCAAATTAACTAAAACGATAAATACTTACTTAAGAGGCACTTAGTCCTCACCAAGAAGAAAACTGCAGCGGAAAATAAAATCTAGCGAAGCTCCGGCTCCACTCCCACAGGCAGCTCAACTGGGGTATAAGCCAAACGTCTTCTCTTTCTGGATCCTTTTTCTTCAACTGAGGTTGAGTGATTATTGCAAGGTGAGCATATGACATACTCAGCAAGCCACACAGCAAATATGCAACTGCACAAGGATACCAAAGGATGGCATAATATAGGCTCATTTGCGAAAGCAGCATTTAACAAAGGGTTAAGAGTAGTAAAACAGTAGAGTAATTAATCAGAAATTTTAATCAACACTGAACAGCACACCCATGCTGTACAGGCCCAACCATCCTGAACAACCATACCCGGCTGTACAGATCTAATCTCCAAACCAGGAGCTAAGCAAATTATTACCAGTTATAGCATCAAAAATTATTGTGAGAGGTGTGGGACTAATCACGAAAAACATTGCTCAACTCGCCCATAACCGCGGGCACGGCTATTCGAATAGTTTTACTCTGGCCAGAGGTGTACCACTGTACCCACAAGACACAGCCTCAACATCATGTCTACCATGCGTCGCGATACTGGAAAGTACCCGAATAGAGGCTGTGACAATACCCTCTGCACAACACAACTCACCACAGTGCACCATTCCTGGATCATAATCACCCCCTTATAAAACAAGGCATGGACTCCCCAGCGACCCCCGTGGGCTTATCTCCGCCACTTCTCAGTCTGGTGCTCCGCAATGAACCATGCTGTACAAAAGGTAAAGCCGTTGCCCACGCTGGCTTGTGGTTGGCACGATTAATGTTTCACAATAGTAGCTCGCGAACCGGTCCTTAATTGCCATGAGCACGACTCTCAAAACCATGTGCTCACAACCCACCTTTATCAAATTTTAGTTGGCAAGTAATTAATTAACCAATCACGATTGACCATCGTGAGCTACCATTAAATATAACCATAAGTGATAGTGAAACATTAGTTATCCCAATTGTGTGCTAATGTTTCTAAGCATGGCTAAGCAATTATATCTAACATCTAGCTGAACCAATATATAAAGCCCAACTAGTCAAGTTATAATAACCCAAGGTATCAAGGAATAAAGTAATCAAGAACAAAAGGGCCATAACAAAGAATAGGTTAATTCCACCCAATGACATTCGAAAATAAATGCACAGTTGAAATAAATAGAGAATTTAAATATAGGATCAACATGCTCAAAGGATTGTGTTTAGGATCTGTGTGACTTGCCTTGCAATAATCGGTCTTCAATTAATCTTCTTGAATACCTCCGGCGCACTCGCGAACCTTCGCAACGACGGAAACGACAAGCTAACACGCAAAACGAAGAAAAAGACTAATAAAAACCAAATAAACAATACATAAAAAGTAAACAAACATGTAGATCATAATTTTAGATGAATTATGAGACTTGAACGGCCTCATTCTGACTTCAAATGAATTTATTATGAATTTTACAAGATTAAATCTAATTAAAGCCCATTTAAAAAGAATTAAATAAATTTAATTCAATTTATGGACAATTTTAATATCTAGATCTTTATTTTATACAATTTTTGCAACTTGAACCACATTAAACTGAGTTAAGATGAATTAGTTATGAATTTTCAAAGATTAAATCGGATTAAAACACTTATATGGATTTTAATTGAATTATGACGCAATAATGAATTATTTTTGAAAAGGAAAAGGAGGATTATTGCGTCAGCGGTTAGGGTTTGCGGTGGACCGGGTGCACGGCGACGGTTCACGGGAACGGACGGCCGAGATCGACTTGATCCAAAACAGACGGCCGAGATCGATCGGTCCACGACCGGCTCACGGGAGAGGGCGACGATGACGTCAGCGACGACGTCACCTCCGGCGGCGCTTCGGCACGAACGGAGGATACCAACGGGTAGAGCGCGGCGCGGCGAACTCACCGGTAACCAAAACGGCGGCGGAAAAGCAACGGACGGCGCCGGCGACGAGGAAGAAGCGGCAGCGGAGATCGGGTCGACGGCGGCGACGGTGCTTCGGCGGTCTTCGGCGGCGGCGAAACGGTGGACGGGGAAGGCGGCGACTTGGCGATCCCGACGGTGGCCTTCCCGAGCGACGGCGACGACTGGAGCGACGGCGGCGCACGGCTGGAGCGGCGGCGGCGACGGCGGCGCTAGGGCACACGGCGCTAGGGCGCTACGGACGACGAGAGGCGAAGGCGAGGGTGGCGACGGGTAGAGGAGAGCTTGGGGGTCCTTTTAAAGGGGCTCGGAGGCGACGGCGAAGGCCCACGACGGCCAGCGACGAGAAGGAAACTTCGGGCTCGGAGAGAGAAAAGCCGATCCGATTCGACCTCGAATCAAACACTTCCCAAGCCGATTTAGCCGATGTTTCCAAAGAGGAAAAGGAAGAGGAGATCCCGGAGATTGTTTCCCCTCAATCAATTCGGCCGGAGAAGGAAAGGAGCGGCCGGATTTGGAAAGGAACGGCGGCGGCGCAAAGCTAGGGTTTCGGGCGGCGGCGGCGCGAGGAGGACGACGGGTCCGACAGACGGGCCCCACCTGTCAGCGGCTGAGAGAGAGAGGAGAGCGGCGGCTCGGCGGACTGGGCCGACTGGGCCGGGGAGGGAGAGAGAAAGAGAGAGGTTTTGGGCCGGCTTTCGGCCCAAAGCCAAAAGAAGACTTTTAAAAACCTTTTTCAATTTAAATTATTCATGAAATGCAATTCCATTTATTAAAAATACTTCCTTAGCTCAAATAAATCCCAGAAAAATCTAGGAATTATAGAATTAAGTAAAGTATTTAATAAAATTTTATCTAGCCCAATTTTATGTTGAGATTTAGCAAATTAAAATTAGATCTTCTCTTCTAGGCTTTTAAAATCATTTCTAATAATTCCTTTTAAACAACAATTTATAATTTAAGGATTTTAAACAAGAAAAGCACTTAACAAATATAATTAGATCATTAATGATCAAATAATTACTGAACTGTTCTTTGTATTATTTAAGAATTGAGCTCTGAAAATCCGAGAAAATTTCAGAGAGTATAATTAACCATGGAGAATTTAACAAAAATTAAATCCATCCATGCTTTATATTTAGGAAATTTTATTCCCACATTTAACTTCACTTGTAAATTAAAGAACATTTAATATAAATTATATTATTAATTTATTAAATAATTTATAAATCCTGAAACAAAAATCAGGATGTGACACATACGATAGAGGTACTGTGTGTGTATGGTATGCGGAGTCGAATTTGGAAGGAGTCCAAATTTGGTATGATTGGTTATGTAAAGTTTGTTTCTTGTACGAGAAGGTTTCCTATAGGGATTAGGACTTCTAGTATGAGTTTGGTTAGTGGCCTTAGGCTGCCTACCTCATGTATAAATAGAGAGGGAGCGTGAGGCTTCTCGGTATCGCTTTTGAGAGCAATTAAGTTGATAGTTTAGATAGGGTTTCGAGTTTAGTCAAAATCTTTGTAAGGAGTGCTGTTGGTGCAATTTGTAAACACAGAGAGAATCAATAAAGTCGTCATCCACTTTAAGAGTTCTTCGATTTGTGTTTTCTCGGGTGCGGCGGTCGAACCGGTGGGACACCGGCGGTCAGACCGGTGGGCACACGGCGGTTAGACCGACGGCGGCGACAGGAGCTAGCAGGTGATCTCAGGGCGGTCAGACCGATTGATCTACACCGGTCAGACCGATGTTCATCAGGCGGTCAGACCGGCGCATCTACTTCGGTCAGATCGCGATTCGTCGAATTTGAGGGTAACTTTTATTTCCGCTAAAAGTTTTGGTTTTTTGGGCATACCAACCATTCACCCCCCCCCCTCTGGTTGGCTTAGTTATTGTGTTTCGATCCTACAATACACTTATCTTATTGTTGTTAATTACGAGAAAAGCTCTGTTCCCATTGTGTGGAACAAGCATCTTCATTTTACCAACAGGTTTTGTGTAAATTGTATTACTAAACTTTAGATGTGAAGTAGTTAAGCTCAATTTTTTTTTGGCAACACTATTTTTCTCGTATATACGTTCCTAACTGAAAGAATTGTCTATTTCAATTTTCAAGTCTAAAGAATAAAGGCCTGCTCAGATTACAGCGTAAATAAACCATACCAAAATTTGGAAATACCAAAATTTTGGTAGGAAGGCAATATTGTCAAAATTTTGGCAGGATTTCTTATGTATTTAGCAAATTCGGCAACAAACTAAACATAG